ATGAAACTATTTCAGTTTATATATTCTAATAAAAACACTTCACATTAATACTCGGTGTAGTGCAGAAAAACTGGCTATATAATTACCAAACCTACAAATTACTCATATTAATATTATTGGTGTTTAAAACACAGTTTTTAGACGTACTGGTAATAGCCACCAATCGAGAGATTTGTAGGCAGTGCTTGAATATATTTTACTCAAATAAAAGAAACCTCCTTTTAGGTAGCTAATTAAATCATTAGAATTAAAGTGGGTGGATCGAATAAACCAATTTACGGTACCGCCTAAAATATCGAATTGGAATGAGTGTGGAATAGATCGTAAAATTTTAAAATACTTATTATTATTAAAATTAATATAAAAAATAAAAGATGTTTTATAATAATTCTCGAGTACGATAATTAAAAATGTTGAAGGCAATACAAAATTACAATTGAGGCCATCCTCGGAAAAAGAGCCCATATGTCAAATGGCGCTTTTGAGAAAAACGCAATTGAAAATTTAAGTGTTTTGAAAATAAAGATTAAAACTTTGAACTTTATTAAAAGCTAAAATAAAAGTATTGTATTTAAATTAAAGTTATAATAAGATGTTTCAAATATATATAGACACATTTTTATGTATACAGGGTGGTAAATCGTCAAACGGGCCATAGGAAACTCAATGAGAAATTCTAAATGGTTGAATTCCTGCTTCCCTAATTATTTTACACCAAAAGTCATGGGAAACTATTTGTAGAGGACTCAAATATGCATCGAAAACAATTGTTAAAATTGTTCTACGACTTAAACGTATTCCAAAATTTTGTTAAAATATAATACATTTTTCAGGCCACCCCTAAAAGTAAGGCCAGACGCCGTGAAAAGAATTTGTATTACGTGTTGCGTTTTGTCATATTGATGTTTCTGATATTCGACAATATTTAAATCAACTATATTATATTTATCTATGATTTAAATTGGCCAAAAATTTGTGATTTATTTTTTAAAAGAAAAATTAAGTTGATTAAAAAATGTACTCAGTTATGGAGAAAAGAGCAATAATAAAAATGTTTTATTCATGTTTTATTATAACATTTGTTATAGTTTTATGTTTAGAAATTATCGTATATTATTATTAGGAATAAAGATGACAGTAACAGTATATTGGAATTCATTGAATTGTTGTATAACTTAACATGGAATTCAATTTTAGTGTATTAGAATATCTTACGTTAAATAAAGATCCGGTAGTGACAGGAAAAGGTTCGCGCTATTGCCTGAATACAACATTATGCGATTTTTCGTCAACTGAGTACATTTCATTATATTAGATCGATTTGTAAACAATGTAATTTATTGTTCACAAAGTAATATTGTTCAGTAGTAGTAGTATTTAGTAAAATTCATTGTTTATAATTTAATCATAAAATAAAAAAAATTGACAATTCAAATTGTCAAATATCTGACATTAATATGATAAAAACACACACGTTATAATATATTCTTGTATTACGTGTGGCCTAAATTTTAGGGGTGATCTGAAAAATCTATTATATTTTTGCAAAATTTTGAAGTACATTTGATTCGTAGAACGGTTTTAACATTTGTTTTTAATTTAGAATTTAGTCCTCTACAAATAGTTTTTTATGACTTTTGATCTAAAATAATTAGGGAAGCAGCAATTCAACAATTTAAAGTTTCCCATTGAGTTTCCTATGGCCCGTTTGACGATTCACCACCCGGTATATAATTTTTTACATTAGCTTGTCATGGGCCCTTGTTCCACAGATCATTTGCGAAAGTATGAAATAAGTTTAAGAAAATCTTTATTTGGCAAATGACGTAAAAAATAAACATTAAAACAAGTTATTATTATACAAAAAAAGTTACACAAAAACTTCTTCTTCTAGAAAGTTACACATAAAGTTAAACAGAAACTAAAAAGTTACACAGTCCCTTTGTTTTTGGCTTATTTAGAAAGAGTCCTTCTAAACTTTCAGTCCAATTTTTGATTAGCGTTCTCACCATGACAACATTAAAAGAAGATGGATTTTTCAGACAATGCACTATTGCTTCCAAATATGGCTTTGCCGTCCCTATGTATTCCTTTTTTTTTAAAGATGACTTTACCAGCCCAAAATCGCGATCGCATTGGTTAAAAGAATGGCCACGAACTGGCAATATATGACGTTTATCACTGTGAATATGTATATAAAAGATATAACACCATAGAAGACCTTTATAAAACTTATAGCATTTGCAATTCATTGATTCTTTAAAATATATTGAAATCCCCTCGTATATGTAATATATTGAAATCCCCTCATATATGTTTGAAAAATCGCAGAATATTTTTTTATGTGTTTCAACTTCCTATTCATACGTATTAAAACCCAAATACTATTTCGTTCTTTTCAGCGTCGCCGTCGCCAAGTAATAAAACCATTTTAGAGTTGTTTATTATTTTAAAGATGTGTACTTCGGCAATTTGTTTTAATGTTTTATTCGAAGTCGCCTTTATAATTTTTGTACGTCATAGAAATGGAATCTTTTGCGTTTTAATTTTCGTTGTGTTTTGTTATTTCAGCGTTTGTTTATTTTCAAGTTAAGTGAACGAATTCTTAAGAGAATTTCGTCATTCTTACTTAGTTACTTAACAACGAAACAAGGAGCGAAAAAGTGCGGAAAACATAGGCTAAAAGTCTATTGAGCCATACACTAAAACGTTTTCTTAAAATTATACATCGCCGAATATACAAGATATGCGAAGAAAGAAAAGAAGACACACAGTTTGGATTCAAGAAAGACGTAGGTACGAGACACATACTGTTTAGTCCACAGGTATTATGCCAACGATGCAGAGATATGACTTGTGATATTAATACCTGCTTTGTAGACTACGAAAAAGCATTTGACACAGTTTAACACTGAAAAATAATGGATGTTCCAACAAAGCTCAAATAGATAATAGAAACCGGCGTATAATACAAACTTTATACTGGAACCAATCACCCAGGTTAGACAAGGATGTATACTTTCAACTATATTATTCAATCTATATTTAGATGAAATGGAAATATTTAGTAAAACCTTGGAAAATTGCGAACAGGGAATCCTTTTAAATGGAGAAAGCCTAAACAACATCCACTCTGCAGATGACACCGTTATGTTTGCAGATAGTTTAAATAGTTTACAGCAACTAATAAACAAAATAAATGAAGTAAGTGAAAAATTTGAACTACAAGTAAATATATCAAAACTAAATTTGTGATCACCAGCAATAATAAAATTAGAGACGTCCAACTGCTTATCAAGAATACACCAGTGGACCGAGTAAAGCACTTTACTTATCTTGGAATAATAATAAACGGACAATGGGATCACTAACAAGAAGTAAAATTTAAAATAGAGAAGGCTAGGAGTGCATTCAACAATATGGCCAATTTATTTAGAAGCCACAACCTTAACCTGGAAATAAAACTAAGGGTCCTACGATGTTATATCTTCTCGATATTATACTACGGAGTTGAATCCTAGACACTCACTGAAGCGATGGAGATAAAACTTAAACCCTTTGAGATGTGGCTATATAGAAGAATCCTAAGGATATCATGGACGGACAAGATAACCAACGAGACTGTGCTACGAAGAATGGGGAAAGAAAGAGAAGTAATGTATACGAATAAAAGGAGAAAGTTAGTATATCTCAAACACATAATGAGAAACCGCAATAAATATAGATTACTGAAAATAATCCTTTAAGGCCAAGTATTCGGAAAGCAAGGAATTGGGAGAAGAAGAATATCATGGTTAAAAAACCTCAGGAACTGGTTCTTTGCAAAAACGACTAATCTGTTTACAGTATCAGTTAATAAAATAATTATAATATAATAATGATCGCCAGAATTCTAAAGAAATAGGCACCAAAAGAAAAAGAAGATTTTTGCCATAAAAACGTTTTGTTCGAATAAAAAAAAAGAAAATTATCCGAGGCCAAATTACACAAACAAATAGCCAAAACACAATGCTGAAGCCACAAAAATACTTAAAGGAAACACGTTGAGATACCGAATAGGTAGTGACGAAATCAGAACAAAATGTAATATACAGAGTATAAACGAGTGGACACTATATAGAAAAATATTGAAATAATTACATTAGTAAAATGGCGGACAAAAGAACCGTTAAAATAGCAAGGAACAAATCAACACGTGGTTAAAGTGTTGCCTACCATGCAAGATATGGAGTGACAATCTTCTATAGAGGTAAAAAATGACCAATAAACAAGCAAAATTTTTAACAAAAACGCAGAAAAAGAAGAACAATTAGCATTGCCAATCCCTAATCTTTAAAGCTGAAAATTTTAAAATTCAAAAGCTATTGAGTCTCATTGCAATAACAATCTCCAAACCATTTAAAAATAAAAATTTTCTTATTTGAATATTTTGAAATTATTTCATACACACTCATATTTATCCTGTACATCTTAAATAAAATATTAGTCCAGTTAACTAATAGAATCCATTATACACCAAATATAATTTTCTTTTAAAGAGCAAACCGGCTGTATTTTTGGCTCAGCCTTAAAAAGATTTACTAATGTACCTGACACAGTTTAGGTTGTATATTTTAGCAGATTTCCTTTTAAATTCACTTTTCTCGCCCTTTTCAAATTAACAGCAATTTCGGCTAATATTTCCATCTCCGTGTTTTCTGTCGTCTTGAAGGAGATTTTTATTTTGGGAAGTTGGCCCTGCTGCGTCATCCGAAGGAGTTTGGGACGCACCTTTCCATCTTCCCAATAAACACTCCCGGATGAGAACGTTCTATAAATCAAGAAAATTGGACGAAATTTCCCGTGTATTCTTTCCGGAGGGATGCTTCAACGTGGAATTGAAGTTGGTTGGGTATTTACAAGGTTGTTGGCGTAGAGAAAAGAACTATAATACGACAATGAAAGGGAAATGTAGGGTAAAGCTTAATATAACGTAATTAGTTAAATGAGACTGTAACTTAATGGGCCCGTTTAGGTACAATTTACTTTTATTAGTAAATTGTTTTATAAAGTTTCTAATTTAAGAATGATTTTAGTTTTTTTTAACGTGTACGTTCGATTAAATACATTTAAAAAATGGAATAAAACTTCAAAGAATAAAAAAAAGGAGTAAATATACAGGGTGCCCAGAAACTTTTCTGAAAAACGAAAGCTAAAGATTCTTCATCATCATCATCATCATCATCATCATCATCATTTGGCTCTACAACTCTATGTGAGCCTTGGCCGCGTTTCCCTCCATTGTTGTCGGTCCTGAGCAGCTATTTCCCATTGCTGTATTCCCATTTTGCGTAGATCACTGGCTACTCCGTCCGTCTCTTTCTTGGGCGAACAACTGACCTTCTGTCATTGGGCCTTTCCCAGAATGTGGCGTTCAGGGATATTTCGTCATTCGACCTTAGCACGTGGCTCGCCCATCTTATTCGGTTTGCTTTTATGTAGCGTACTATATTTTCATCTCCATATGCTGTCTGGAGTTCATCATTGGCTCTTCTTTTTCATTCTTCTGTTTTCTCTTTTCTGCAAGGCCCATAGATATTTCGCAGTATCTTTTTTTCCAGTAACAGTAATTTTGTCGTTTCCCGCTGGTTAAGAATCCACGACTCGCTTCCATACGTTATTGTGGGACGAATTATTGTCTTATACACTCTTATTTTTGCTGCTATTGAGATAATTTTTTATTTAAGTACAGTCATTAATGAGCAATATGCCCAGATACTTAAATTTTTTGACCACTTCAAAGTCTTATTCATTGATTGTTACGTTTTGTATTACCCTTGGCCTTTGATTCTTCGCAACCACCATGTACTTGGTCTTGTCCTCGTTGATCTTCAAACCAACTTCCTTGGCTCCGTTTTTCGAATAGGGTGAAAACTTCTTTTGCATCTCTCGTGGATTGTGCTATTGTGTCCACGTCATCCGCAAACGCCAATAGTATTTTTGATCCTTGGGCGGCAAATCAGTTTGTCAGTTGTGGTTGAGCTTTCCTTACCGCGTGTTCTAGTACAAAATTAAATACCAGAGGGGCGAGGGGATCTCCTTGTTCAAGCCTGGTGTCAATGAGGAATTCCTCTGATGCCGTGCTGTCAATTCTGATTCGTGCGGAAGCGTTCTCTGTGCTCACCTGTGCTAATCGTACCAGCTTTCTAGGTACTCCCATTTCTACCATGGTCTCCCACAATGCTTCTCTGCTTGTTAGGAAGATTTTGCAGATATTTCTAAAACGATTTACCTAATTCACATAGTCCGAAAATGCTTTTTAAAGCCTAGTTCGTACTATGCTAGTATTTTAGTCGAGTAGCGAGTAATTTAGTAACTAGAATACACACTATTGCCCAAAAATCGTTCGCACTTGTTCGAGTACAGTTCACAAGTGAATTATGTTTTGCAAGATGAACAGACTACAACACAATAGCGTAAATAAACGTATTAAGCTAATCACAAAGGTTATACATCTGGGCCAAAATTAACCAGCCACTTTGGAAATGGGTAATTTTTAATTTGTTATATCTCCCAAACCTGTTGTCCGATTTAAGTGATTTTTTTTAATATGTTATAGCCTTCCTTCATCGTCAGCTGGTTTGAGTCCACTGCTCGACATAGGCCTGCCGTAAATGATTCCAATGCATTCTATCTTGAGCACCCTGAATCCAGTTGTTCTGAATGCGCTTGATGTCATCTGACCACCTTGTTGGAGGACGTCTTCGATTACGATAAGCAGCGTGTGTAGGTCTCCATTCCAGAATTTTCTTCATGCACCTTCCATCCTTTAATCTGGCAACATGCCACGCCTAGATAGCCTTCCTTATTCCTTGATAAATCTTTATAATAATATTGTTGCTAAACAGGTAAATTTTCATTGTATATTTTGGAAATCAAAGTCTAGTTGGAAGAAAATTGGGTATCAATAATGGGTGTTGCCGCCTCTAGCCCTTTGGACTTCTTGGAGCCGGTTTGACAATCCATTCATGATATCCTGGATATTATTATCCTGGGAGATATTGTGCCACTCATCTACCGCAGCTGTCTTCAGTTCTTCAAAGGATGCAAGTGCTGGTACTCTTGCTCTTACCCGTCTTTTGAGGTTGTCCCAGATATGCTTAATTGGGTTAAGATCGGGAATGTGTGCCGGCCATGGTGGAACTTGAATCCTGACCTCATTAAGGTACTCACGGGTAGATCTTGCTGTATAGCAACGTGCATTAATAATAAAAAAGTAAGATACGAAAGTAGATCCGGAAGTAGAAAAAGAGATAAACTAGGAGCTACCAATTGTCTTCTAAAGAAATTATCATTCAAAGATCTTAAAAAATACTTCGATAGATTAAGAATGTCTGAAAGTTGTGTAAATTTTTTGTTAATGAAAATACATTCCCAAATACAACGAATAGATGATTTTAACAATCTCAATTTTTAGGATTTAGTGTGATTCCATCAATTACCGCCCCAGGTGTCAACCATGCTAGGCTACGTCACTGTATCTAAATGCAATACTATTTGACAGTTTTCTAAAAATTAAAGTGCAATGTTTTAAAACCGTTTTCTATTAAAATACTCTTCTACTGATTATTTATCTTCCACAATTTAAGCGATAAAAGTTTTGCGGCAATGGCAAAATATCCTCCTCAACTTAATCGTTTTGAAAAATACTAAGATTGCAAACGGGTGCTTTCATCCTTTCAGCAGATAACTGAAAACTGAATACTTTATCAGATGTAGACCTCTGAATTATTTCTGGGCTTAGCTTAAATTGAATTCCTCACTTCGTTTTAGGGATCTGGCCCATTTTTTTGTTTTCGGCTGATAATTCAGTCTCTGCTATATTCTGATTTCGTGCTTGGTCAAACCTGGATTTATTTTCTGAAAATAAAATTGACTTTTCTATAGAAATATATTAGTAGACAGTTTTGTATGTCAAAACTTCTGATTAATTTAGTTTATTACAACTAACGATTAAAGTAAATAGGCTGTAAATTTATTTCTTATCATAAGCGTATTCTTTATATTGATGTTAATTTTCAATCGATTATATTACAGGACGTACATAGGTGATTCTAGAAGTATCTGAGCGAAAAAACAAAACACAAAATTTTGAAAAAAATGTGTTTATTTTTCAACATAATCTCCTTTAAGTTCTATACAATTTTTCCCAGTGATTTTTAATAGCTTCGATACCCTTTTTATAATAAAAATGTCTCGTTACTTTAAATTACGGTTTTTCAAGTTTGTGAACAGAATGATCCAAGAGGCTAAATCTGGCGAATAAGGTTCATGATGTAGCAATTTAAACTTTAATTAATGAATTTTAATAACGGTTCAAAGCAACAGGACCAGAGAACATAAAACTGCAACTGCTAAAAAATGGAGACGCATGGATTGTATCCTTTATACAAGTGTTTTTTAATAAAATGGTAAAGAGAAATTATCATACATGTCCTCCGTTTTCAAAAAAGGTGACAACAGGTTTCCAATAGGTAATGGAAGAACGAAGAAAACACAGAAATAAGAATGAGGAAAGGTACAAAGAAATAAACAAAATAAATTTCTGGGCAATTCTCTATTATTGATATAATAAACCATTTAAATAAAGTTCCTGTTACGTATGAAGGTCATCACTAAACACTTGTCAACATTTAGATCCATTCTATTTATCTGAAACCAATCAGATACCGCATTCAAATCTAGTTCTAATAGTTGGCAATCACATCAATCTTCTAAAACTCTAAACATCTTAAAATCATCTGCAAACGTAACTGCAAACAACTGTAAAATTTGAGACAACCAGAAAGATCATTTATAAACAAGCAAATAAGAGTGGTCGTAGGTTGCTGCCCTGAGGATATCCAGAAGTTACGGAATATTCCTCTGAGAAAAAATTACCAACTCTAACTTGCTGACTTCTATCTGCTAGGTACGAATTCAAAAATGTTAATGCATTAATTGAGAGGAAAAAGGTGCCCAGTTTTTTTAGTTATAAACCATGATCAACCCTATCAAATGCTTTTGTACGACTTTTCGTTGACGATTATTCAGTATCACTTTATGGATTTTATTAGCCATTTCTGGACTCACTTTTGAGACTGTATGGGAGCAACTTCTTAGACACACCGTCTCAAGACTAGCAACTTCAACGTGGAGTCATATGTCGCCATGTTACCTATTCCAACGGTAACTTTAACATCCTAAACCATTTTAAGAAAATTTGTAAACTAAATGTAATTAATTATTTGTTAACGGGTGTTTACCCATATATTTAGTGGCTACATTCATGTACTCCTAGTAAGTATTAACCACACTTTGTATTAACCTTAGTCAAAATTTGAACCTATGTTCTTTTTAATTAAGTGGTTAAATATTTTCTAGGACACTGACAATGGAATATGGATTCCGAAAACGTTTTGTCTGTTTAACTTAGCCCGTTTGGGTTCTTAATATATACCTTTTACAAAGGATTTTTAATAAAATTTTTTTATATATGGTATACAGCCAATTACAGGAACGTAGATTCCTTATGGATTATTACGATAAACTTTAAGCACAATTGGGTATAGCTAAATGCCGTGAAACACACATTAAAACTTCATATTGTTTCGAAGGGTGATATTAAACACAGTGCGGCATTATTATGTACTCAATATATATTTGTTTTATTATAAAGTGTCTACTTAGTTTCGTCATACTAAACAATAAGAATCTATTATTTTTTAAACATAGGTATAATACTTGTTTTATCCATAAGTTTTACCTACTTTATTATTCTTACACATAATTTTCTGTAATTCTGTTGGACATTCTTGTTTTCTGTTTGTTTTTGTCCTCGCTATCGCGTTCTAGTGTGCTTTAGAAAATTGGTCTAGCGATAAATTAAACAAATGGTAGATTACATATTCCGAGCAAATACGCTTGCCAATTATAAATGTATACATATTTCGATTACGATTTCAAGATTAACATAAACTGCTTTTATTTGTCTTG